TACCTAATATTTTTAAAAAAATTACTGCTTATTAAAAATATTTGCAAATAGCCACAGCAAAACTTATGAATATAAGGTTCATTCATTCATTCAGTCACCCATTCACCAGATACTTTGCTATGTGCCACCAAGTGGCTACTCGAGACACTGTGGTGAGGAGCAGAGCCAAAGTAACTTTCTGTTCTGGGGGGAGAGGGGGTTGGTTTTAAGGGGGTAGGCAGACAATAAGCAAATCAGGAAATAAATATGTTACCCACACCTTGAGAAAGAGCCTGAGACCAATTTTCAAGGGTGAGCTCTTAAATGCTAAGTAGAAAATAAAAAGAGCAAGGAACGAAGGGTGATGGGGAATTTTATATTAATTTGCCAAGGAAATCACTCTGATAAGGTGATAACTGAGCAAAGACCTGAATGAAGTGAAGAATGTGGCACAAAAACATTGGGGAAAGAGATGGACCTGGGGGGGTGTTTGCTAAGTGAAGTCAGACAGATAAAGACAAACACCATCTGATTACACTTCTACGTGGAATCTAAAAAATAAAGCAAATGAACAAAGAGAGCAGGGACAGATCCCTAAACCCAGAACAAACTGGTGGTTGCTAGAGGGGAGGAGGGTAGAGGGCTGACGGGTGACAGGAGTGGGAGCCACAGGCTTGCATTATGGAAGAAGTAAGTCACAGGGATGAAAGTACAGCTCGGGGACTATGGTCAGTCAGGGGTATCGTACTAGCGTGACATGGTGACGGATGGTGGCTATAGTTGCGGCGAGCACAGTGTAAGTACACACTTGTCCAATCACTGTGTGATACACCTGAAACTAATGCAACACTGTGTTAACTGTACTTCAATTTCAAATTAAAAACAAAGAAACAAAAAAACACGGGGGAAAGAGGTCTAGGCAGAGAGAACAGCAACCAGAATGTCTGAAAGTCTAAAAAGTTCCAACATGAATTTGAAAAACCTAGGCTTTTACAGAAATATTGGAGGCTCTCCTGTAGCTGAAGTTCTCTTTTCTAAGCTTCTTTGATCACTCAGATCCTAGTGACCTCCTGCTCCCCTGGACTCTTTTTTTTTTTAATTTTAAGATTTTATTTATTTATTCATGAGAGACAGAGAGGGAGAGAGAGAGAGAGAGAGAGAGAGAGAGAGAGAGAGAGAGAGAGAGGCAGAGACACAGGCAGAGGGAGAAGCAGGCTCCGTGCAGGGAGCCCGATGTGGGACTCGATCCCGGGACTCCAGGGTCATGCCCTGGGCAGAAGGCAGGTGCTTAACTGCTAAGCCACCCAGGCGTCCCTCTGCTGGACTTCTATAGCAAAAAAAAATTTTTTTTTCTATAGCAGAAATTAACTGGTAACTAAACACTTTGTTTTGGTGGTGGGGTGAGTCTGATCTCCTTGATTGGACTGGGAACTTAAGAACAGGATCATACTTTATGCTATTTCTGCCATCAACTCCCTGTTTCTAACCCATATGCCCTGGTGTTGAATATATATTGGAGTCCTTTTTTTAAAAAAAAAAAAAAAAAGCAGAATATTTATTTGAGAGAGAAGGAGAGAGAATGGGGGGGAGGGGTAGAGGAGAGGGAGAGAACCTCCAGCAGACTGCCTGCTGAGGGCAGAGCCTGATGTGGGGCTTGATCCCAGGACCCTGAGATCATGACCTCAGCCGAAAACAAGAGTTGGACGCTTAACCAACTGAGCCACCCAGGCGCCCCTATGTTGGAATCTTTTTTTTTTTAATTTTTATTTATTTATGATAGTCACACACACACACACACACACAGAGAGAGAGAGAGAGAGAGAGAGAGAGAGAGAGGCAGAGACATAGGCAGAGGGAGAAGCAGGTTCCATGCACCAGGAGCCCGATGTGGGATTCGATCCCGGGGCTCCAGGATCGCGCCCTGGGCCAAAGGCAGGCGCTAAACCGCTGCGCCACCCAGGGATCTCTATGTTGGAATCTTAATAAGATATTTAGTTAATCAAAAATGTATATGCAATTTTTTTTGCAATTTAAAGTTTTTAATGAGAAATGTATCTTTGTCAAGATCCTCTGGGCGTGGTATGGAATCACTATTAGGATTATTATTATTATGTTTTAAAAGATTTTATTTATTTATTCATGAGAGACACAGAGAGAGAGAGAGAGAGGCAGAGACACAGGCAGAGGGAGAAGCAGGCTTCTTGCAAGGAGCCTGACATGGGATTCGATCACAGATCCCGGGATCATGCCCTGAGCCAAAGGCAGATGCTCAACTGCTGAGCCACCCAGGCGTCCCCACTATTAGGATTAATAATAATCACTATTATCTCAATTTGCAATTGTATGTTTTCACCCCTATATATATACAAAAGCTTATTTAAAAGGAGAAACAATAACAAATGAGGAGATATATTAAAAGGCTTTATTCACAATAGAGAAATTTTACAAATATAGTTTTTAAAAATTATGTGTCAATCTATTATGTTTCCCATAACATTAGAGATTTATATAAAGTTGGAAATGACAGAATAGATTTATGTACAAATTAAAAACAACCAATGAAAAGAATGGGTGCTACACATGAAAGAGTCATGACAAACATCGAGTTCTGTAAATTTCATACAACTTATAGGTGTAATAGTAATTGTGCGCAGTATACCAAAAATATATGCAGAAACACAAAATGAAGTGCTATTTTAATTATTTGCCTTTCAGGATGTGAATACATATGTAAACTTAACTGCACAGTTTTGCTGAAAATGAATGAAAATGCCTACCTAAGGACTTCAGTCGTTCGAAATAATTAAAACAAAATATAACTTTAATTAAATTACATCACCATAATAATAATAATCTCTTAATCATGTTTACATTTTGGTGTTTTGGGATTTAGGTTAAAAACTCCAAGTTCTAGAATTGAAAAACTTTGTCCTTGCCATTGGCAGAGCAAAACATAGTACAATCATCTTGCCTATTTATGTCAGGATATAAAAGGTACGTTATAGTGCAGTGTGTACACATAACCTGATTTCAAAGTATCTGCTGCAAAAATACATATCAGCTTTGTGCTCTTTCAAATCAAACTGAGAATTTAAAGAAAATAAATTAAATTGCCAGTCCAAGGACATTCACGTGAAAATTATCATTTAAATACATATGGCCCAATTTTTGCAATAATCTCACACACTGCTTTTAAGTTCTGGAAGAAAGGACTCTCAACAAACCATTCATTTCATAAGGTGAGCTGAAGATATGAGTGGAAGGAGTTATTCTGGGTCACAGGAACTCATTAACATGGCAATAATGATGCACTAAAGGATCTTTTTCATTTACTAATTTTATTAATTTATTCTTTGACATAAAACAATGTACACTATTGAAAAAAGAGCAGGTCACACAGGTGGTCCTTTCAGACAAAGGAAATCTTTTGAAACACTTTCAAAAGCTGAAACAGCTGAAAACAATTGAGTCTACTGAGATCTAAGAAAATAATTAAAAAACATTATGTTGAAGCATATGAAATTGCTGATATTGGGCAGTTTCTCTACTACAAGTGCAGCAATTTCATATACTTCAGCCCAGTTCATGGGATTGCACTGAACCATCCGACCACTCTCGGTTGAAAATGCAGGTGCTCAAAGTCTCTGTTCCTCAGTATATGCATCATCATATTAGCCCTTTCAAGAAATATATATAAAATATGAACTAATATGAGAAAGCACAAGCTGCCACCAAACGTGTTGTAGGGAAAGCCACTCATATCTCAAAATGATGCTTATTCTTAATGAAGAATCATGTAATTATTTTGATCTGCTATATGACTGTGGGGGATTAGGAATGTCCATTCCTATATATTGCTTTCAAGCTGGGATCTCTGTGTTGAATTTAACCTGACAAAACATACTATATTCTTACTTAGCCTAAAAGTTTATTAGATTTTATTTAGTTGACCATGAATAGACACATAAGCAGAGCTTCTTTCAGAGTTAAATCCTGCTGTCATAAATTGAAATGAAATAGTTTACTACATTTGAGAAAGGGCTCTTTTCAAATCTGAAAAATCTGAACCAAATGTAATGCTTTTTTTGAGAACAAGAAAAAAAACCTTAAAGGTGAAATACAAACTAAAAACCATGTTAAATACTCACCCTTTCTTTGGAGAGACTCAATTTCTTCATATACTCAGTTAAAAGCAAGAGCTAACACACTAAGAGTTATACTGTTGTCTTTTAAAAAATGTAATTCAGTAATAGCAGAGCTCTGCAAAACTCGAAAGCTCCACTCGTGTGGTAGGGGATGGAAGAAATTAACCAGGACATGATCCAGAAATGACACAGGGCATTTAAAGTAAAATTTGAAAACTAATTCACAAATTAGGAAACACTAATATAATTAACCAACAAAAATATACTGTGGTTCCAATGAAATGAGGTCAACACGAGATGATCCTTTTGGGATGACATTGTAATTTGAATTACAATGTGAGTGAAGATTTTAGAAGACATTCTATCAAATAATGATAGACCCGCATAAAGAGGCTGTCTGTCACAGTTATAAGATCTGTCTCTGGTGGATAGACAAACCAGATTAACATGAAATTGAAAAGGAAAAAGCTTTTTTTAATATTTAATTTATTATTATGGCTTTTTGCAACATGGCAAAACATTACAGCTTAAAGCAGACGTCATCTCCTCATAGAGGAGGAAAAAGTTTTGCAGTCAAATCAAAATTGTAACTAAGAGGTCACTGGTATACCATGCTGTTCAATTTAATAAAAATGATATACCTTCATGAACTCCAGAGATTACTTAAAAAAAGTAAAAACCTATGATCCACTGACTGAATAATAAAGGATATGATAAGGAATTTAGGTCCTTCTACGCCTATGATAATAAACATAAAAGACTGCAAAACAATTTTAGAACTTAGAATAATCACAGACCTATTGATAAAAATTCATCATGTGCCTGAATACCAGAAAAGGAATTATTAAGGTATGCAGTGAAGGGAAAGGAGCACAGTAAAATATAAAAGATCTTTTTTATTTTGCATTGACTTCGACTTCCTTTTTATTCGTACAGAGTACAGGGAGAAGATGTGCCTCGGTATTGAAGATCCAGTGTTCCAGTGGAAGCAGATCATCATCAGAAAATATTAAGTACAAATATCTGGAGAGAAAAACATGAGTATATGAGGCCCGAGAGGCTGTGTCAGGCAGGGAAAGCATAAAGACACAGCAAAAACCGCATCAATGTCTCCGTTCATCTTATGGAGAATCACGGACGACAGTCAAGTACTGCAAAACCCCGAGGCGATATACTCACTAATGTGGAGTAAAGCAGCTGCTCTGTGCTTAGGGATGAGTGTGTGAAATCCCACGATGCAGCGCTAAGGCATCAGACTTGGGTAACCACTGGAAACCTACCTACAGTCACTGCCACACAGGTAGAGGGGGCAGTCGGAAGCCGTCATACTTGCTACCGTTTGAATGTGTTCATGATAAAGACATCAACAAAGAAGATCAGACCAGGTGCCTCAGCCACATACTTTTGGAATACATTTTACTTACTTCAGTGTCTCTGCCAAGAAGAAACTCTGCTGTACATCGTCATAACTCTCGTGTCGGAGGTAAACATCCCTTAGGCCTGAATAGCCTCCGTTCACGCGGCAGTGATTTTCCAGGGCCTACCAAGGAAGAGGGGAGAAACGGTCACGTTGCAATAAACTGCTTGTCACCAGTTTTTATTATGAAATTGCCAGATGCAAATAAAATAAGGATTCGAATTGAATACATGTGGAAGGGTTTTAGGCGAACATTTAAAAAAAACCCCACAAAATGCAAAGGCATATAAAGTATAAAAAGTTAAAGGGTATATAGACTAGATATCTAATTAGAAACACTTCTACATTTAATTTTGAAATAATTTTTCAGTGATTTATTTTTTTTAAGCATTTCCTCTTGTGGTCCATAGTCGGGTTCATCATACTATGGATCACAGGCTTAACCCAGTTTGCTGTTAATTTTGTAAATAAAGTGTTACTGAACCATAGCCATGCTCATCTGTTGACATATTGTCTGTGGCTAGTTTTTTTTTCCCCATTACAACGGCAGAGAGGAGTACAGGCAAACCTCAAAGACATTGTGGGTTTGGCTCCAGGCCACTACACTAAGTGAATATTGTGATAAAGTGAGTCAAGTGAATTTTTTCATTTCCCAGTGCATATGAAAGTTATGTTTCCACTGTACTAGAGTCTATTAAGTGTGTGGTAGCGTTATTTCTGAAAAACAATGTACATACCTTAATTAAAAAAGACTGTTGCTAAAAAAAACGCTAAGCATCATCTGAGGGTTCAGTGGGCTTGTCCTCTTTTTGCTGGTGGAGGGTCGTTCTTTGATATTGGTGGCTGCTGCCCTTCTCAGGCTGCTGAAAGTAGGGGTGGCTGTGCAGATTCTCGAAATAGGGCAACAATGAAGTTTGCCAAGTTGGGATTGTATCTTTTACAAATGATTTCTCTGCAGCACACGGTGCTGAGTTGATGGAGGCTCTACCTGCAGTAGAGCCTCTTTCAAAATGGGAGCCCATCCTCCCAAACTATGCTGCTGCGTTATCAACTAAGTTTATGTAATGTTCTAAACTCTTGGCGGTCAACGATCTTCATCAGGAGTAGATTCCATCCCAAGAAACCACTTTCTTTGCTCATCCATGAGAAGCAACTCTTCATCTGTTTGAGTTTTATCATGGGATTTGGCGATTCAGTCACATCTTTAGCTTCTGCTTCTAATTCTAGTTCCCTTGCTATTTTCCACCACCTCTGTGGGTACTTCCTCCCCTGAGGTCTTGAACCCCTCAAGTCACCCATGAGGGTAGATAACTTCCTTCAAAGTCCTGTTAATGTTGATACTGTGACCTCTTCCAAAAATGATGAATATTTTTTTTTTTAAAGATTTATTTATTTATTCATGAGAGACACAGGCAGAGGGAGAAGCAGGTTCCCCGCAGGGAGCCCGATGTGGGACTTGATCCTGGGTCCTGGGATCGTGACCTGAGCTGAAGGCAGTTACCCAACTGCTGAGCCACCCAGGCATCCCAATGATGAATATTCTTAATAGTATCCAGAATGGTGAATTCTTACCAGTAGGTTTTCAGTGGACTTTGCCCAGATCCATCAGAGGAATTACTAGCTGTGGCAATTATAGCCTTAGGAAATGTATTTCTTAAATGCTTAAAGTCAAAATGCTCCTTGATCTATGGGATGCAGAATGGATGCTATCTTAGCAGGCATGAAAACAGAAATCTCATTGTATATCTCTGTCCGAGCTCTTGGGCTACCAGGCACACTGTCAAGGAGCGGTAATATTGTGAAAGGGATCTTTTTTCCTGAGCAGTAGGTCTCAACAGCAGGCTTAAAATATTCAGTAAACCATGCTGGAGACACATGAGCTTTGTTGTTCTATTTACAGAGTATAGACAGAGTAGATTTAACATAATTATTAGAGCCCCTAGGATTTCTGAAATGGTAACTGGGCATTGGCTTCAACTTCAAGTCACCAGCTGCATCAGCCCCTAACAAGGGAGTCAGCCTGTCCTTTGAAGCTTTGAAGCCAGGCACTTACTTCTCCTCTTCAGTTTTGGAAGTCCTAGACGGCATCTTCTTCCAATAGGAGGCCATTTCAACCACAATGAAAATCTGTTGTGTAGTGCAGCCACCTTCATTAACGATCTTGGCTAGGTCTTCTGGATAACTTGCGGCAGCTTCTCCATCAGCACTTGCTGCTTCCCCTTGCCCTTTGATGTTACAAAGATGGCTTCTTTCCTTAAGCCTCATGAAACATCTTTTGTTCTGCAGCTTCCTCACCTCTCCCAGCCTTTACGGAATTGAAGAGAGCTAGGGCCTTGCTCGGGGTTAGGCTGTGGCCTAAGGGAATGTTGTGGTTGGGCTGATCTTCTATCCAGGTCACTCAACTTTCTCCCTATCAGCATACTGCTTTCTTACCATTCCTGTGTTCACTGAGGTAGCACTTTTAATTTCCCTCAAGAAGTTTTTCCTTTGCACTTACAATGTGACTGTTTGGCAGAAGAGGCCTACCTCTTGGCCTTTCTTGGCTTCTGACCCGCCCTCCTCACTAAATTTAACCGTGTCTAGTTTTTGCTTTAAATTGGAAGATGTATGACTGTTCCTTTCACCCGAACACTTAGAGGCCACTGTAGGGCTATTAACTGGCCTACTGCCAGTATTGTCAGATCTCAGGAAATAGGAAGGCCCGAAGAGAGGGAGAGAGAGGAGTAGAGCCATCAGAACACACAACATTTATTGATAAAGTTCTCTGTCTTATAAAGGTGCAGTTTGTGGCACATCAAAACCATTACAATAATAACATCAAAGATCGCTGATCATACATCACTGCAACAAATATAATAAGAATGAAAAAGTCTTAAATATTGTGAGAATTACCAAAATGTGACACAGAGATAGGAAACAAGCTAATGCTATTGGAAAAATGGCATCGATTAGACTTGCTGGGCACAGGTTGTTACAAACCTTCAATTTGAAAAAACAAAGTATTTGCAGAGCACAATAAAATGCATGCTTGTGCTTGCATATGGCCTCCAAGCCTAGTTCTCTCTGGCTCTTACGGAAAAGTTTGCTGACCCCTGATCAAAAGAGACTGTGAATGTCAACTGGGATTAAAAACCCAAGAACTGAGAAAGGGTACTGGATCAAAAACAGCTGCTACTGGACCCAGGTCATCTTATTTTGTAAACACCGATGATGGAGTATTAATTAGTGATATTGGTGACAGGTAGCAAAGAAGAAAATGGATAGCAGTGAAAAAAAAATGTGGCTCATATCTATTTCTAAAACATATTTTTCTTTTCTCTAGTATGGGATGGAAGAAAATGGGAGGAATTCATTTCTTAACTGTCTGGAGAGAAATGATCCTACATTCCTGAAGTTCTCTGGCTCTAATGAGTATTTGAGAAAGAGATGGGTTGGGCAGTATGGGAATGAAAATTTGGGTAATAACCTATCAACTTGCAGGCTCCATGAACAAAGAAAATATCTCCTGATTTGGTACTTTTAAAAAGCCACTGGGAAAATAAGATCAACTGAAAAAAACTGCTTTGATTATAGTCTCAGCTGCAGACAACAAACCAAGCAGGGGGAAAGCCTGCAGAAAGGAACTTTCAGGTTGTATTATTTTTTTCCTTCCTTCCTCTTTTGTAAGTTCTTTTTGATTAAAAAGTCAAATACCAGATACACTGGAGTAGGTCCAAGATTATTTGTAAAAAAGAAAAAAAAAACAAAGGATTTAGAAGAAATGGACAAGTTTGTTGTTATGGAACGTAATTAAATCCTACTTCCAGACAGTTTCTAAAGAAGATTTTAACAACAAAACTTTTAGATGTTTTTTTCCCCCACCCTTGAAGTTCTTTGGTGATAAGTTAATGAGAGGACAAGTCATGATAAACTGCCACTCCTCTCTCCCACAGAAATTTCTACAAGCTCCTTTTTTCATTATAGGGAAAGAGTCGTTTTGTGGGGTGGACAGTGCCCAAACATTTTTCTTCTTTTCAGTTCACCCTCATTCTTCTCATCCTAATGTGGCGAGCCACAGTTGTCTGGAACACATTCTAAAATCTCAGAAGAGGGGGCTGGATCCTGGCCCTGGACTCTCTAAGGGAGCCCACAGATGTTCCTGGACCCAGGCAGTGTCCCTTTATTCAACATGGGGTTGTCGTGAGAATAAAGTAAGAAGAAGATACACTTCGCATGGTGACAGGGACCTTTTGGGGGTTTAGAGAAGCCTAGCTATTTTCATTTTATGAGACTTTTGGCAAATTAAAAAAAAAAAAAAGGGAAATGCCAAAGAGGCTTTGTTTCTTTACTTTTTAAAAATTATTATTTATTTTATTCTATTTTTATTTATTTATTTATTTTACTTTTAAAAAATGAAAAACCTTCATGTTAAATCTAAATTTTAAAACTTTAGGGATATGAAGCTGGGGATAAGCAGCCCTCCTGGGTACCCATAACAGACCCTGACATTACTGATATTATAGTATCTCAACAGTGGAAGCAGCTGTGTATTTATGTTGCATAGTCGGATCAGAACATCATTTTACTATACTCTGTTCTTGGGGCTCTCAGACTCTATGCATCAGGACCACCTCGATTTTATGTAAATTATTACATTATTAGTGACCATGTGTGTCTGGGATGTACAAATAGCAGAGAACAGAAAAATAGGAAAATATTTACAGTTATCAGAGCTCCAAATAAAGGATGAAGGACAACCCAGATCCTAAGTGACTATATCTTTTTAGGGGAAAGAAAGTAAGAGAATAGCGAGCAGCAGGAGTTAAATCTTAAGTCCAAAGGGGATAGAAAAGCATTCTCTTATCTTTAGGTTAAACAGGTTAGATAAACAGCTGATCCATGGGGATTTCCAAGAGTGGATTCTAGGGAATAGTGCTAATAATAAGGCTGAATGGTTGAGTTTGGTCTGAGCTCAAAGGTAGAACCTAGCAAAACAGACATATCAAAGAGCCTGGAAACGGGGATCAAGCCTGGGAGGGAGGGAGAAGCAGGGACTGGGAAGACAAATCACTTTTTTCAGGGCCAGAATGTCCATATGGAAAAGGTTAGATTTGGGAGATCAGAAAAAAAATGTCTGTGCAAAAGAAGGAAAAAAAAAATCCCTATATAAGACTTATCTGTGAACCAGGGGAGACATCATATAATCTATACACACAGATTTATAGACATTGTAAAATCTATATTTACCAACACACATATAAATACATAAGCATGACTTATAGCCGAACCTCATCAGAATATTATACATAATTGGGAGGAATTTAATGAAGTTTTTATGACATCATTGAGAATAAGTAAAAGAACGGAGGTAAATGTTATTTCTGGTATGTAGATTCACAATCGCGTGAACATCTGTGATTAATGGACTATTGGTAACCTGTGGAGAAGCTTCTAGTGCTGTATGCTGGATTGTATAGTTTGCTATCTTGTTCGACATTATTATTGTGTTCAGTGTTACTGTTCAGAAATCTGGCTAAGACATGGAGAGCAGGTTTATCTAGTGTGTCGCTGAAAGAAGGCTGCAAAGGGAGTGCTTCAAGAGAAGATAGGAGGATGGCTGACAAATACTTTAGAAATAGCAAGTGTGGGTGAAAACAAGCATGGAACAAAAGAGATGTCTCGATAAGAACTAATATAGTAGCTAGTATCATTTGACCACAATTTCAACATAAGCCAGGGATTTTACAATCTACTAAGAAAACAAGTGGGACCACAGGCTGTGGGAAATAACACTCAGAAGACAGGTTATTGGGTCACATCACTCAGTCCTGAGAGACCACACATGTCACGAAGAGGTGGAGGGAAGTGATGGAGGAGGATGGAGTTGTGGACAGAACGTGCTGTCTTCAGATAACTGAGGAGCTGCAGTGTGAAAAGAGAAGGCATTCCCCCCCCACCCAGACCTCCAGAACGCAAAACACCCTAAATTCTGGTTTCTAAAGGGGTAACTTTCTAACTTCCAGCTAGTAAAAAATGGAATTACTTTACGTGTAGTATGTTCTTGTTAATTACAAAGTCCTTGACTCGATGAGGAATAGCCATGTGGCAAAGACCACAAGATCTGGGGCACCTGGGTGATTCAGCAATTGAGCATCTGCCTTTGGCTCAGGGCATGATCCTGAGGTCCTGGGATCGAGTCCCACATCAGGCTCTCCGAGGGGAGCCTGCTTCTCCCTCTGCCCGTGTCTCTGCTTCTATTTTGATGTCTCTCATGAATAAATAAATAAAATCTTAAAAAAAAAAGATGACAAGATCTTTTCTATGAGTGTAAGGCTAGTCTATGTGATTTTTAAGATATACTCCTATGTTTTAGTTTGTGTTCCCCTAAAAATGGAGCATGACACAAGGGTTGGATGCAGGAACTTTTGAGGGGAGGTGATATCAGGAAGGGAATGAGTGGGGCAAGTGAAACGGGGAGGGGAGAAGAGCCAGGGAAATGCGCTGAACGGTGGGCCAGGAGGGCTCCCTCCCGCTGGAAACCCTCTGAGGAACCACGTAGAATGCATCTCAGACAAAGGGGGAAGACTGAGAGGGTTATTCATCAACTCTGAAATCTCATTGGTTCAGGATGGTCCCCTGGGGGCTTTAACCCTCCCACTTCCCAGAGCACAGCCAGCTGCCTAGGGAGAGGCTCAGAGCCAGGGAGGATGTGATAGCTTGCGGGGAGCTTGTGGGGAGCTTGTGGGGATGCTGCCCCTGCAGGCGGGGCTTAAACAAAGGAGGGCTGAGGATGTCACACGAGGGAAAGAGCGCCACCACACTGTGTCTATGATTTTGCACTTTAAGAAAGACAAGCGTGCCAGCACTCCTTCCTCCTCTAGACCTCAAGTTCTAGCAGAAATGCTAGAGGCAAAAAGCGAGGGTGGGGGTGGGTGGGTGGGGGCAGGGGGTGCCTATGTTGTGCACAGGGAGACCATCTTACATCATAGACGTTAACAATGGACAAAAATCCCAACCCCTAAAACCAAATTACCCCATGAACACGCTCCCCTGGAGAACCAAGCAAACCAAAGCTTTCCATCCACATGGCAATAGAGGTTTACTCATTTCCATGTTTTGTCAGTTCTCTGCCATTCATTTTTCACATTTTAACATCTTCAAAACTAGCGTGTCATAATTTACCCAGTTGTGTTGTATTTTCTTAGTGGGATATAAAATAATAGTGTTTCTTATCAAGTACGTTGTTTCACATTGGATGAAATACATTATTCCTGATATTTTCAATTTAAACTGGTATTTCAAAAGTGACTATTAGCCTGAATTCTTTTGTTGGCCTATTGAAAAACAAAATAATTTCCTATTGCCAAAGCTTAGATGAACCTCAATTTTTATACATTTTTTTTCAGAGAAAAAAACCCCTACATTTAAAGAAATTGGAATTACCACTGACTAAACATAATTAGAAAACTTCGCAAGAAAAAAAAAAAGACAAAAAGGGGCCTACAGAATCGTTATTACTTAAAATGACTAATGACTGGTGATAAGACACACACTATGCGAAGGGAGTAATAAGCAAGATTCAACAACGGCTTCTAAGAGATTAGTTATAACTTAAACAAAGGCAATATGTTTGTTTTAGATTTCCCGAGAAAAGGTATTTCTAACGGTCAGGTTTTAAAGACGGCTAACTCTCTAACAGTGAGTGTAATTAAAGCATTAGCTTCTTTTTATCCCCTCAATGTTCCACCACAACTCCTTCCAGAACGATAGCTCCTAAAATTATCGTTTGATGCATTTTGGAGGGCACAGCCCCTGGCACCAGCACACAGAATTCACTAGATTAGTTTAGGAAGATGATAGGCCATGTTTTGTAGATAGAGACCCAAGGGGTGACAAAGACAATTCAGACAGCACACTGGACAGACGGAAAGCTTAGAGATATCCAGGGAAAGCTGAGATCAGTGAATGAATATTGTTGCACAAAGTAGTTCTTCTATAGGTTCTTTCTAAAAGTTAGATCTAAGCTAATTTACTCCGTGGATGAATTTCATTCTAAAATGGAAATGGAAGTAGAAGACAGAAAACAGAAAATCTTACTCATGTGCCCTCAGGAAACCAAAACTTAAGGACTCAGAGACTGATTTCCTGTACACGCTGGATTTATGGAAACCTAATAATAGTGGGATGGTAAGGAGTTGGCCAGGGGTTGCCTTGTATCAACCACTTGGGAAGTTTTACTTATGGTTTTCAGAGAAATGAATTAGAAATGACCTCGGTTGGGCTGTCTCACAAAGTAGTTCAACTGAGCTTTATTTGTATGACCGGACTTTGCTCTGGGAATTCCCAAAGCTGGTCTCCATTTGTTTTTTATTATAACAGACTCTAACTGAATTCTCTCTTCTTTACATTCCCTGTCCATAAGTACAGCCTACCTTGAATCCTCAACTGACTCACCTGAATTGCAATTCCTCTGCTGTTCCTGAATAAACTTTTTTTTTTTTGGACAGTTTTGAGTTTGCCTCAGTTTACCTTTTAATTTAGGTTGAAACTCTAAGTAGAAGCATATATTTTCATTTTAATGCCCAAAGACTATAACCCCACCTCAGCCAAACAAAAACAAAACCACAGTGGCTTCTTGAAACAGACAACAGGCAGGGGTGATTATCCCCAAGTTGTCAGTAACTGTGGACTTAAGTGATCATCACTTCTATGGCTATGAGAATTTAATTTTATAATATGCCTTTCTAGATACCCCCTTCTTTATCAAAGTATTAATATTAATATATATCACTGTTATATAAAGCAAAGCTGAAGCCAGGGATATAGGATGACAACGGAAAGCACTCAGTCTTGAATTGGGAAGAAGTCTGATTAAAGCTTTAAGAACCAGGGGTGCCTGGGTGGCTCAGTCATTTGAGCAGCTGACTCTTGATTTCGGCTCCAGTCATGATTGGAGTTGTGAGACTGAGCCCCTGCTGGACTCTGCAATGGGTGTGGAGCATGCTTAAGATTCTCTGTCCTCCCCACCCCCCTGCCACCCTCCAAAAAAGCTATAAAAATCATAGAAAGGTTGATATGCTGTATTTATAGAAATCACTGAACATTTTTTCCTACAATATTTATGTATAAGAAATATAAGCAGATTAAAACATCACCTCTACGGCTTCCCAGGCCCATTTCCTGTACTTTGGATCATGAGTCAGTCGCCACATGTACATGTACGTCTCAACAACCTCTGGCCGTAGGATGTAGTATTTTTCATTTTGCCTTGTAGCAATGGCTTCAACACCGCCATCGAATCTGAAAGCTTCTGGTCCCAGTTTCATATCTAAAGGGCATGCAGGGATGAAAAGCGTTACTGTCTTGGACACCCCTCAGTTCTACAACTCAAATTAAACTAGAAAGTACTTTACAACATTCAAGAGAGATGCCAAAGTAATCATTTTAAGGAACAGTTATAAACATCATATAATAACTAATATTCAATATCCCTTTAAAATTCAGTCATCTGAGAGTCCTTTTTGGAAAATCACAATGATCTTTTATTTAATTTAACCATCATTACTGAATGCCCCCCAGGTAGGTACCAGGCACAACACCCCTCATCAGTTAGCTGGAAAACCAGTTAGCTGGTTGAGAATTGTTAGTCATTATGTCATGAAAGGTTATTTAAATTTCAAACTCCCATTTTACGAGAAGCGAGCCAGACTCTATTCATGGAGATACTGAAAAGCTTAATAATGCAATACTAAGTTTCTTTTGCACCTGGGACATTCTTACCCAATGTGATTTACTTAAAGCAGGATCAACAAATTCGACTGGCTTAATGCTTTATGGTTTCCATTTTTGTTGCTTGGTAAACCAAGGGTAGATATTTTTATGTAGAAAAACAGTGCTTCTTAAAGTAAAAAACAGACATTCCTTTAACATATTTATCATGAGCTTCCAGTCTCATGAGGCACAGTGGACATTCTTCTGGTGGCAACAGTGACAAAGTTCCTTATTGAACAGAATAAAAGGATATGAATAGATTGAAAATGAAGAATAACATGGACTCACATGTGCGATTGTAAGATTCGTAACAGGTCCGGGCAATTTCAGCCCCGAGCTGAAGGTAGTGTTGGGTTAGGCCTGCGGGAGCGTCATCAGCCCCTAGTGCAAACATGCCTCCAGCAAAGCAGGTCAGGTGGCCCATCTTGTGTTCCAAGAGGCCCCCCTTCCACTCCGCGATGTAAGTCAGGCCCGTACTAGACTTGCGGATCAAGTGAGTCTCGATTGCCTGTAAATAATACTTATTTTCAACATTTTTAAAATCCCCTTCCAAATTTATATTAAAAACATTCTCAACACTAAGAGAGAAAAAGGATAAAACCTCACTCCCAGTTTTGGGTTTGGCGTCATAAATCCCACTCACCTGCAATGTTATGTTACTGCTTTCTGTATTCTTCCTCTAGTCTATGCCTTATTAGTTTGGTTAGTTAGGACTATTGCTATTGCGCCAGCCCAGATGGTTTTGCCTGATTCCATGACCAAACATAGTCCTCATACCTCAAAAGCTATCCCCTTCTCAAAGGCCACTGGTGTAGAGGTAACAGTTAATGCATTCCCATGTTCACAATGGACAACACAAAGCACAAGCTCTTCTGGGGATGAGGAATAGAGCATACTGGAGTATAAAATCCAGGCTGCCTTTGGTTCTCTTAGGCTCAGAGGGTAGTAAACTGAGTAGGAAAGATGTGCTGTTCTTGAAACAGATTGCTTGGCCTCAAATTCCAACTCTGACACTTGCTATCTATGGACTTAGTGGGTAATTTGCTTGCTGTATCCCTAAATCTCAGAATCCTCATCTATAAAATGGGAATAGTAGTATCTATGGAGAAAACTCTACAACATTTATTTTATGAAGCAGTCAGTAGTGTGCCTAGCACTTGATAAGGTTTATTTATCATCCTCACATCTCCAGTGTGATAACATTTGAGTTAAATTCTTCCCTAGGAGGGGCATCTGGGTGACTCAGTGGTTGAGCGTCTCCCTTTGGCTCAGGTCCTGGGATCCAGCCTGCTTTTCCCTCTGCCTATGTCTCTCCTTCTCTCTCTCTTTCTCTGTCTCTCTCATGAATAAATAAATATAATCTTAAAAAAATTTCTCCCTAGGAATTCTAGTAAAAAGCATATTAGCATACAATGAAAAAAATTTTAAAAAGACACATGAAAAGATGCTTATCATCACTTATCATCAGGGAAATGCACAAAAAAAAAACTATAATGAGATATCACCTCACACCTGTCAGAATGCCTAAAAACAACACAAGAGACAACAGGGGGTGGTGAGGATGTGGAGAAAAAGGAACCCTCTTGCACTGTCAGTAGGAATGCAAACCAGTGCAGCGGTAGAAAACAATATGGAGGTTCCTCAAAAAGTTAAAAATAGAACTGCCTTAGGATCCAGCAAGCACACTACTGCATGTTTATCTGAAGAATACAAGAACACTAATTCAAAGGGATACGTGCACCACTAACTTTTATAGCAGCATTATTTACAATAGCCAAGACATGGAAGCAGCCCTGGTGTCCACTGATTCATCAATAGATAAAGAAGATGTGGCAATAACAGAATATTATCCAGCCATAAAAAGGAATAAAAAGGAATGAAATCTTGCCATTGCAATAACATGGATGGAAGTATAGAGTATAATGCCATGCAAAATAAGTCAGAGAAAGACAAATACCATATGATTTCACTCATACGTAGAATTTAAAAGACAAAACAAACAAGGTACAGGGGTAAAAATGGGAGAGAGACAAATAAAAAAACAAGCTCTTACTTATAGAGAACAAACTGATGGTTACCTGAGGGGAAATAGGTGATGGGGATGAAGGAGGGCACTTGTGATGAGCACCAGGTGATGCGTGCAAGTGTTGAGTCATTATATTGTATACCTGAACCTAATATAACACTGTATGTATGTTAACTAACTAGAGTTAAAATTAAAACTTAAAAAAAAAAGAATAAAGGTCTGAAAATTGGGGAGAAGTGATGTTTACAAAAATGAGTCATAAAATATCTTTTGTTTTTGCCCTAGGACAGTTGATATTCTTTTACAATAGCTAGAAAACATAAAATAAGCCTTATATTTAAAAAGCAAAAATGAAGTGTAACTGTTTGGAATTATTAACTTCTAGTTACTGTCAGAGGAAATGTTTTTTCCCTCCCAATGACTTCCTAGAAGAAAAAGAGCTATAACTATGTCTATACCTGTTACGCTATTATAAAAAAAAAAAAAAAACAACTGAGTTTTTTAGGATGCACATTTGGGACTAGTAGACACAGACAAAACTTGTGATAGAGAAGAATGAATGAAAATGAATACACAGATAATACCTTTCCTACCTTTACTGGAAATAAACAAATGAAACAAGGTGGTAAGAAATAAATGAACACACTACTGTGCTCAGTAACTGTGGTTAGCTGACTTTGTTGATGGACTTATTCTATTAATATTTCATTCTTATTTAATGCAACTGAACACCTTAACTATTTACACTTCTCATAGCACAAACTACAATAAAGTTCTTCAAGCAGATACCTGTTCACCACCCAAGAAATTATTCTTTCTACATGGCAAAAGTTACAGCTTTTAAGCATGGACTAGAGATGGATCCTGAATAAAGAACTGTATTATTTTTGGCATGATTCTGACCAAGCTGCTACCTCTTAAAATAAACTACAATGAAGTTCCAAGACCCTCAAAGTAATGTTTGTGTAACCGTGGGAAAATGTAAATAAATATAAAGGAGGAAAAAACAGTTGTTAGTGGTTCTAAAAAGAGGTGTTAAATCTACTGAGAATTGATTAGGTAAAAAGAATATCATGTATTTTGTGATTTTAGCCTTTTATATTTGAAAAAGAAAATTAGTTTGATGAAACTTTTAGAAACCTAAACGTCTAATACATCATCTACCCATTCACTCCGGTGGATTCTTTGTGTGGTCTCTAGAGAACACAGCCAGTTAAAAGTTCAAAGTATTTTGTTATTAAAACAATCAAAGAAAAAAAATAAAACAATCAAAGAAAATAGACCATGCTGGAATTAAATGCTTTCCAAAATCGACTTGAAGCTAAAACTGAAGAGCCGTATCCCCAGTAACTCAACTGTCCAGGACAATAATATACAGTATCTTCTCTTATTAGTAGAATTTTTTTTTTTAAAGCAGAAAGAAACTTTGCTCTAAGACATGGTTACTTCTCAAATCAGAAATTTAATTGTTCTAGCTTTGCTTTCTAAGTTGAAAACACAATGGCTTGAAAATGTTTTCGCTATTAAGAGAAGCAGGAAACATTTTCCTTCATTTATTCTTAATGGATTTTCCTGTCAATGGTTTGTCTAAATACAGTATATTAAAAGCTGTGTGGGTATAGTTCTAGAAACTGGAGGAAAATATTTCACGGAACATTTTAAAGTTGTCTTTCCTAGAACATCAAGATCTTAGGGGGCCACTTTATGATTAGAATAATTGAAATATCTGCCAGGATAGCAATGAAAAAACGACACAGCAGAAACCATACTGTATGGAGAATTCCCTAGTTTCAAACTTGACACCTCATAGGAATGAAGAAAAACAGACCTGGAAGAGGCCATGTGGACCATATTCTAGTTTGCTTTTTATGTTCATCGTGTGCCTTAATTAAGGCTGTGCTAAGTGAAAGCCAGCATACTAAGGTGTCCTGGTTCCTATAGGTGGAGTAGTTAAGAGTCATAGCTGTTGTGCTTAGTGATGCTTCTAATTGACCTTGGGAGGGAACCACAGTAATATTCAATCTGGCCAACCAGAACAAAGCAAGTTGCATTTGTATTTATTTAATTATTTATTTTAAATATTTTATTTATTTGAGAGAGAGAGGCAGACTCTCTGCTGAGCAGGGGGCCGAATGTGGGGCTCGATCCCAGGACTCTGGGATCATGACTTGAGCTGAAGGCAGATGTTTAACCAACTGAGCCACCCAGGCGCCCCATATATTTAAATGAATAAATTGGACTATGTCTAAATTACTTTGACCGCCTCTCATGAAGACTAATTTTAGAACAGTGGCTACATTATTAGAGTTGCAAATTTCCACCCCACCCCCCGCAAATTAATACTCTCTATTATAAAAAAAATTCTAAATAGTCAATAAAAAGTCATTTTCCTGATTATTTAGCCACAATTTTAAAACATTATTTGTGATAATGTGGTTTATTGTGATGCCTTGATAATAATTTTTAAGAAATATGAGTTACCATATAAAATGCTTAATAATCACAAAGGTTCTGCTAAAAAAATTTGTTTCTGAAAAGTTGGGTGTGAGATCAAGTATTTTACATAAAATAACCTTTTACTTTATTTACTTTCAAATTTTATTTTCATTTTTGATGGGGCTTACATTTGCTTGAGGCTTAGTTTACTCTTACACTGGTCACCTCATATATATTTTGCTAAGCAGTTTCTAACTTATTTTTACTAACTTAATGAATGCAAAGAACATTTAAGTGTAATATGGAAATTCTTATTCACAAATAAATCCATAATGATGAGGTAAAAAGAGACTAGTGTTGACACAAATTTTAGTTTGAATTTTGGTTCCATATTCAACCTTTCTGAGGTTCTGTTCTCTTATCTGTAAAACTAGGTAAATAGTATCTAAGCTATTGTGAGGAGACAAACACTTCATTTAAAGTATCTGCCTAACATACTTAGCTCACAGTAGACAATGCAACAAATATTTGTTCCCTCTCATTCTTCCTCCATTATAAAGGATCACAGGAAACTATTAGTTCAGATTTTTATTTGAGAGCATTGTCTATCTTTGGAGATAAGTTTACTTCAAATGGAGAGATAGCCATTAGGAATGTCTGTAATCTTGGGCAGTGTTAACTTTGTCACTTTTCAGAATATAAATTAAGGTTTTTTTTTTCCTCCCTATGATTATAATTGTGACTCTAAGCATGGAATTCCTACTCCTTCAAAGAAAAATACCTCTTTTTCAGGTATGTGAATCATTACTGAGATGTGAACCACATAAAACACTTCAACTGCCCTGTTAGAATGAAACACATCAAGTGGGATTACTATTGTTACAATTATATTAGCAGACACTGAACTCAGCCTAACTGGAAATATTTTGTAACCCACTTATATAGTACTCTGTTTCCCATTAAAGACTGATTAATATTGCAAGTTGTATGTTAGTTTAATGGCGAAGATGATTTAAACATTGGGTTTACCTGAACAGCATCAAAATACATCTTCTTAGCTTCTAGATCTGTCTTGTCAGACATTAACCACGCCTTTAGCAAATATTCATAAAAGCTGTCTCCGAGCCCTCCAACTGATACATGATCTGCAAAGAGAGGAAAATGAATTTCAGAGTGATTGAGGCTTTAATTCAGATAATGCAGCAAAATCACATTAGCAACTAGGATGCAAAACCCTACGTCAACTGCAACTCACCATTACATTTAAATTCCAACAAATCTCTTGTTTTCAGAAAGATATTCTGAAATGAGCAGATGTGCTATTAACTAATGTGATATACTCTAAATAATTACCAGGGTAGTTTTGTCAACACAGAGATAAAAAATATATAATCAACTGTAATTCCAAAAATTAGTTCTCTAGTTAAAACCACCAAATTAAAATGTTTCACAGTATATATTTATACAAGTTTTTAATTGCTTTAGCTCTCAATAACATAAACTATGTCAAATACTGTAAGTCTTAACAAACCTGAAAAAGAATTGGCTTGCAATAAAACAAGAAGCTCCTCGGCTTTTTATGATTACTATTATTATTTGATGAGTTTTCTAGTGTTATCAATCTGTAGGGTCAAGATCCTTTTAGGAGAGGCCAGGAAGAAAGAAGATGGGGCGGGACATATCCTTCCTAATACTCTATTCCTACAATCCTCCCCCACTGCTATTTATTATACCAGATCCATGACATATAGTGCCAACAACCTTAGAGTTTATAGGGTAGGCATCCTCATTAAAAGTGGAAAAAAAAAAAAAGAATGATGAGTGAGGCTAAAGGAGATCACAACACTGATAAGGGCCACCTGACACCATAGCCCACTTGGGATCTCACACTTGGAACTGCCTGTTCTCTACCATGTAACACTAAACGTATTCTTTTGCCTACTGCTTGAATCAATACTTCAATTTTTAAAGCACATCTACCTACGAAAACAGAGACATAATCTATTTAAAATATCATTCCTAGAATTCATGGAGAATTTGAGCACTAATAAGACAGCTTGATTCTGGAAATCCGTATTTTAAGTTTCATAATTCAAAGTGAATTTCATGTATCTTTTTTTTTTTAAATAAGGCTTTTGTTGACTCTGCCACATAAAAGTAAATCTGTTTTTATACAGCCATCAAGACAATTTTCTCCTGACACTTGCCCAACAACTCCACTTGGAGCTTTATGTGGGGACCTCTACATTGAACAGGTTAAAACTGAATTCATTCTCTTTTCCTTCTCAATCTTACCTTCTGCCGTTGGTCCCTGTCTCACTAAGTGGCACCACCATCCTCCCAATTGTGCAAGTTAGACACTAGAGAGTTATTTTTTACTACTTTTCTCCCTTGCCCCCATATCCAATGAGCTACTGAATCCTACTAATTGTACCTCCTATACATCTCTTGAATCTATCCACTCCTGCGTCCTCACCAATCCAATCCTGGTGGAAGTTACTGTATCTCCTGTTTCTGAGTCTGGAGTGGCCAATTATCTGGCCTTCTGCACTCTGATATTGTGTAGCTATTTACATTTCATTAATTAAAATAAAATAAACACAATTCAGTTCCTTGGCCATACTAGTGCTCAGGAGCTACAAGTGGCCCTTGGTTACTGCACTGACAGGGAAGATCTAGAACATTTCCATCATCACACAAAGTTCTAATGGCAATGCCACTGCAATCTATTCCCTCATTTATGCCAGAGCAACTCTTTTAACATGTGAACTGGATCCTCCGGAATTGGAAGCCTATAATGGCAGAGACTCAAATCTTGGGTCTTTGGAGAGTGGGAGGCCCTGCATGGTCTCCACCTTCCCTGTATCACCATCGGTTCTGATCTATTTGCTCTCTGTTCCCTTGTCATATGGCTCTTCTTTTGGTCCCTCAAAACCAGTAGGATCCTTTCCACCACAGGAATTCCAAAGGCCTTGTTCTCTCTGAGTGATATACATTCCCTGCCTCCTTTCCCTTTCATTTAGTAATTCCTACTCATACTTTATATCTAAGATTAAATGTTGCTTCCTCAAAGATGCTTTTCCTGACCCCCACCCACTGGGTTCCCTCATTATACACTTTGGGATAGCCCATGTCTACTATACTCTGCAATTTCCTAAAATGATAGAATTTTTTCTCTGTCTTCTCCAGAGGATTTGTCTGATCCTCTCGAGAGGATCACAATCCGGAAGGATCATAATCCAGGAGACCCATCATGTTTCCTGGTCCACATCAGCTCTTCCAAGTAGCCTGCATATAAGTAGGTACTCAGCAAATAATTGATGAACAAAGAAAAATCTCGTAAGTCAACTTTAAAAAGGACTATTCCCATTCAAGCGAGAAGGGCTATATTTTTAAGTAGTGAAATATGTGACTTTTATTATTGCAGAAAGTCCAAATGTACGGTTTTAATTTTAATGTAAAATTAGTGTTTTATAATTTTAAGTTTGATTCTTAAAACAGCAGTGCTTGAAGTGACCTTTGCAATTTCCTCAAGAAAATTACCACAGAAACCTCTGACATTTACAAACTAAATACACTAAGTACTATCTCATCAATAACAAGCCCTGTTGTTATAAACATGATTGCAGGAGACAAATGCAAGTGAGCATGGTAAAGCAAATCACTGTCCGGTTACTGTCAAAACAACAAGGACTAAATGAAGTAATAGGAAATGATGGCCGTGATCCAGACATGCCCTTCAGAGTTAAGCAATGAGAATTGAACGCTAACAGCCAGAAGCAGCTTCATTTTCTTTCCCCTTGGGTTATGATTCTATAATGGATGGAAGAAGCAAGTTTGGGCATTTCCTTTAAAAAAGGAAAAAGGTTACATAATAATACATTTGGTTTAATTTATTTTGGTGAATGTAGGTTAATATTCTATATTTTTATTTCTTGCCTATGAATTTTTCATATTTGGAAAGAATCAAAATAAAGGAACATGGAGGAGGAACAAGAGCAAGCCTTTTTGATAACTTAGCATATCACTCACTATGCTTCCTTATGGCTGAAGGGCTATTTGTGTTGGCAACAGAATCCTGTGTAAATATTTAGTGGGTGTGGGAGAGAACATGCCTGATTTTATCAGCAGGAAGGGACCTCCTACTTCTACAAAGAACATATATGGTATTTTTATTCCCAAAGGTTCCAAAGGTAATGTGTATTGCAGTCACTCAAATATTATGCTCTTCTTTATAGAAGGCAATTTACTCTTTCCTTCCCGAGAGGAATTCCTAATACTTAAGAGAGAAAACAAATAGCAAAAGAATCAAAAGACAAAAAGAATTAAAAACTCAGTATCTTTATTTTTTATTATTTTGTATATTTCATCTGAACCTAAACCTCTCAAAGCATTCCCCCAATGATGCTAGTGACACTATATGTATATTAATGTTGTTATATTAATCAAGGAAGAATGATAATTGTTCTGTCTGTAGACACGGAGTCCCACATCTGGCTTCCACAGTTCCAAGATCTCTTTATATCATCAGTTACCAGGATCTGATGCTGCCTCTCAGCCACAACTGAGGAGCAGAGAATAAACAGAACCATTATTAAAAGCAGAGGAGGAAAGATAGATTGGATACAGGGTGCATGAATACTCATAAAATTCAAGTAAGTAAACACCTACTAGTGCAAGATACAGTGAGTAAAGTTAACAAATGTCACTAAGACAAAGTCACTGGCCTCAAACATTTTGGATCCCTAGAAGATGGGGATGTATATGAATCATTTTGAAAAGCGTAAGGATAGGAAAGCACCCAAAGCATTGGGGCAAGGGAGGACAAGGGTGAGTAGAGGATGAATGGGTGCCAACCACTGTCTTGAAGAAGAGAGTCTTCCTAGAAGAAAGAGCAATTCAACTGGACCTTGGCAGAGTCAGAAGAGAGGTAAAAGGGCTGAGGAAACAGCACAAACTAAGACCTAGATATGACCAACGGGCCTTAACTAAAGAATGAAAAAATAAGTGTCTCCCTTGTGGCTGGAACACAGGGTGGTGGTGGGGTTGAGGGTGGAGGAGCAGACATGAGAGTCATCAACCCTATTTGTTGGCCATCATGAAATTGGCCCATGTGCAATCCAAATAGAAAGGGCCCTCTGCACCAGGAAACATGGCCAAATACACAACATATTGGTAATCCAGGAGGCAAAACTGGATTTCCAGTTCCAGTATAACTGATACTTTTTGTCCCTCTTCACAGTGACTTCTAAATCCTAAGTCACAAGAAGAAAACAGTCAATCATAGAGAATTTTTTTTCAATTTTTAAAGTCATTCATGAGAAGGAAAATGCTAAAAATGCCTGTCCTTTCAGAGAATCTTATCTGGTCCTTGTACTCAGAAAGCTACTATTTTCTCTCAAATACCCTAATAGTTCTCAAACTTTTAGTCTGAGCACCTTCTACACTCTTAAAAATGAATAAATGCCCCCAAATAACTTGTTTATGTAATATCTATAAGTATTTACCATATTGAAAATTAAATTTAAAATATTTAAATTGAATTAAAATATTTTATTAATTAAAAAATAATACAAGCATTACGTTAACACATTTTTCATATAAACATGTTATATTTTATAAACTAAAAAGATTAGCTAAAAGACTGACATTGATTTACAGTTTTGCAAATCTTACATTTTTGCTGTACTAGAAGATAGCTGGGTTTTCATATCTGTATATTCAATCCATTGATATATATCATTTTGGTGGACATACATGAAGAAAATTCAGCCTCACACTGTTACACAGTTGGAAAGGGAAGTATTTAAAGAGCCCTTTCAGATAATTGTGGATGTTTTTCTCTGATACTAAAACAAAACTTGACAAATAGTTTTTTAAAGGTTAAAATTTCTTAAAGGTTGGTTGTAATGTGGAATTAGAAATCACATCAATGAATTTTTGTACTGTTACATTAGAATCCATTGGTCCATCTTGCACTTTGCATGGATCTTTTTCCTCACGTGATTTTGTAATAGCATGAAGTGGTCATTTGGAAAATACTGGTTCACTGAATTATACAGATCTTCCAAACGGTGACATAGTTCAGTACATAATATAAAAAACTGCATTTTCAAAAAGATTTTTATTTATTCATGAGAGAGGGGGGGGGCAGAGAATAGATAGGAGGAGAAGCAGGCTCCCTGCAGAGAGCTCGATGTGGGACTCGATCCTGGGACTCCAGATCACGCCCTGAGCCGAAGGCAGACTCTCAACTGCTGAGCCACCCAGGGGGGTTCCTATAAATTGCATTTGTTAATATCACACTAATCTCATCAGAAAAGTTTTTCTAGAGAGGGTGGGAGGGGCAGAGGAAGAAGGAGACAGAGAAAGAGAGAGAGAGAGAAAGAGAGAGAGAGAGAGAGAGTCTTAAGTAGGCTCCATGAGCAGTGTGGAGCTCGACATGGGGCTCCACCTCATGCCCCAGAGATCATGACCTGAGCTGAAATCAAGAGTCAGACGCTTTAACCAACAGAGCCACTCAGGTGCCCTAGAAAAGTCTTTAAGTATTAGTTAAAGGCATTAAAGTCATGGTAGCATATATACATTTCTCAAAATTCTAATTTTCATTTAGAAATTAAAATTCTATCATTGGCAAAGATACTGTCAGTTTTCTTTGAATTGGCAGGATTGTTTTTGAGAACATGTACCAATTGCTCAAGTCTGAATAACCAAAGATGGTGTTCAGTTGTTCTTTCAAGCAAAAATGCTAATCCATGAAGCTGTATGTGAGTGGCTCAGCTTTTGACTCAATCACACAAGTGCTTTTCTATGAGGTAGACACTATTTCCTATTATACAGCAAAGAAGCATAATCAATGGTTGAGATCTACTAGACTCAATAAGTTTTTTCATTAAAAATATTCATAAGTGAAACTGGCATCTTTTTATTTCTTATTGTCAATGAAGAATACAATTATTAGTACTATCTGGCTCCCCTGCCACGGTTCTCACTGTGGCTTCAGTAGTTTTACCCACCACTGCTTTTGCAACAGAAGTGCAAACATCAACACAGCAAAAAGGCAGAAGTAAAAATAGCTTTGACCTTGTGGACTCCCTGAATGGTCTCAGGGATATCCAGCGACCTGCAGACCACACTTGGCTAAATGGCAACAAACACAGATTTTAGCACAATTTTTTTCTATTAAATTATTCTTTACGAAAAGTACTTCTTCTAAAGTAACAGGGAGGCATGTTCATCTAAGAATGTAATGTTACATATAAAGAAAATATTCAAATTAGAATAAAATTGTAAGGCATTGCTAATATCCCCAGCACAGACAGGCACCTCACTTAATATTCTGGACTTGACTCTCCGTTGCTGGGTTAATCTACCACTGTTTTTCCAATCAACTTGAGAACATTTATTTCAACTACTCTGGATCTTCATATCCCTAAGGTCCCTAAGGGATCTGAAGTGAGGGCTCCTTGTATAATACTTTCTCCTAATCTGAAGATAATTCTCCTGGGAGGCAACCTTTATCTGGTAGCTTAAAATTAAGTCAAAAAAACATCCTGTTTGCTCTTTCAATTTCCTAACCCTTAAAGATTCAGGTTCCTCTCTCATCTTGGAGCCAAGAAGAAAGAGCAAATGCTATGAAGTAGAATGATCTAGTTACTCCGTGCAAAACTATGATAGCCAATAGCATAAAGGAACAATTTTCCCTTCTATCCACATGACCAGCTTGTTATGGGCTAACATCCCCAAACAACCTGACCAGATCTTCCCCTCTTGATTAAAAATTTAAATGTGCTTACATGTCATCATGCTCACAGTTATGCACGAAAAATAAACAATCAAGACCCATGGTAACACTTATAGTCTCTCTCACGACAGGCCTGTTTATTAAAGGAACCATGCCCACTTTCCTCTTCCTGAAACATTCCCCAAAACAATTTGTGCTTTTTCTGTGCTCCTTCTCTCTGTTACTAGAACAGTGCTGGGTACCATAAAGAGCTAAAACCATACTAATCTTTTGACTTACATTGACCCCACTGTCCACTACTGGGATTCAGATAGTTAGGATAAAGGCCTTGTGGTTTTTCCAGGTTGTTCAGTACTGTTCGAATATTCATTACCTACAACAGAAAATGAAATGTTACTATGAAAATCTACAAAACAATTTTGGTGCCATTCTCCTCTCTTTCTCCATTACATTTCTCCATGTTAGGGAAGAAGATTGATTTAAAAGAATTAGAACTACGAGGGTTGCCACCAGCTTACAAGAATATTCGCAGTAAGTGAATATAGGTCACACGGATCTGCCACACGCTGCAGAAGGAAGTGGGGATCTATCAGTGGATAAACAAAGTCATTATCCTCTTGGAATTTACTTTCTAGTGGGAGGAGACAGATAATAAGCACATAAATATATCAGATGGTGATAAATGCTATGAAAAGGTTATAGAGGACAGTGGGACAAGTGATGTGAGGTTGTGAGGTTACATTCTTAGTCAGGGAGGTCAGGGGAGCCTGATGGGAGAGGTTTGAGCAGAAACTTAAAGAGGCAAAGGAATAACCATGCGGAAAGCTGGAGGAAGAGCAACCGGGGCAGAGGGAGGTGCAAGCAGAGGTGCCCTGAGAGAAGGTTTGGCAAGACTGCTGAGGCTAGAGGTAAGGAAGAAAAGGAGAAAATGTCAGAGAGGAGACAGGTATCCAGGGCCCACATCATGCAAGCCTCATGGGCCAAAATGAGGGCTTATTTTATTCCATGTGTGATGGGAAGTCACTGAAGTTTTGTGTTTTTGCGGAATCGGTGTGACTGAAGGGGACAGGAGAGGAAGCAGGATTCAGGTGGGTACAGCAGAGTCCAGGCAAGAGACGGTGGGTCCCAGGAAAGGGTGGCAGCAGGATAACAGGATAGAGCCAAAGCATTTCCTGATGGAGTCAACCTCAGGTTTACCAAAAAGAGAGGAACCAGGATGACCTCAAGATCTGTGGTCTGAGCTACTGGGTAAACTGAGGTGGAATTTATCAATACAGTGAAAACTGCAGTAGAAAAAGGTCTGGGGGTTGAGTCTGAGGCATTTTGAGCAGCAGCTGTCATTCAGACCTCTTAGTGGAAAGGTCGGATACAGAGTGGGGGACAGGTTGGGACTGGAACGATAAATTTGGAGTCAATAGCACATAAATAGTATGTGGAACCATGACACTGAATGAAATCATGTCGAGACTGACCACAAAAAGAAGAGGTTCAAGTCTGAGTCCTGAGGCTTTGTGATATTTAGAGCTTGGGGCATTGGGGAAGAATCAACAAAGAAGGCTGCGAAGGAGCACTCCACTGAGGAAGAAGGCAAACCAGGGTAGTACCGTATGCCTGCAGCCCTGTGCAGCATCTCATGGAGAAGGAAGTGACCACATGCTTCAGATGCTGCGAGGGTGAGGACAATGAGAGCTGAGAATGATCACCGGACCTGGCAACACAAAGCTCACTGGTCACCGAGACAGGTGTGGTGGGCAGAAAAGCCTGACTGGAAAGTGTTCAAGAGTGGGGGACACAAGAAGAGGGGGCAACAGAGACAATTCTCTCAGGGAATTTTGCTATGAAGAGGAACTGCAAGTGGGACAAAAGCTGAGAGCAGAGTGGTGGGTGGAATATAGATTTACTCACATATCTACAGTTGTTTCTTGAAAATTAGAAACAGATTCAATTTGTATTATACTCGAATTTGTATGATACTTTGAGTTTAAAAAGTCTTTCACATGGTCCATACAACACTATATATTTTTAGATCAGGAAAAAAAATATCAGAGAGGGAAAGTGACTTGCTTGAGGTCTAGAGAATCAGACGTGTACGCCACGCTGTCTCATGCTGAGTTAGACGGAGCCATGGAAAGACTGCGGGGTTACAGTTTGGTAAAATGAAATGCTGCATGTAACAAAACTTCCTGAAGAACTCTATTAAACTTGGTTATTCTTTTCCATATCTAATATTACTAAATCTTCCAGGAGAGGATATTGTTTCTCATTAAGTACAGCACTGCAGTGCAAGGTGTATTGGGGGATCTTACCTTTTCGGCAAAGATGGGGTTTCCTGATAAGTGGCTCAGGTGGAGAAACTCCAAATGCAGAGTTCCAAATTCTGCCAAAATACTGCTGCCTCCTGAGGCCCAGGGCCAGTTCCTTCCAATTCCACTAAAGAAGAGAAGAGAGTGAAGAGTTATGGGTCAGAACAATTCCGATTTTTGCAGGTTTAAATAGAAGTGAAAGAGACCGGTTCCGAATAATGGCATCTCAGCTAATAGTCTACTCTGGTTATTAAAAAATGTCCAGCATTGTTGTCTTTGGCTACTGGTTTCAGGCTTTGACTCTTACCTATAAACTGAAAATCAGTGTTGACATAAGTCAGAAAAAAGTTTCTATGTGCTTGATGTTGATGAACAAATACTTTGGAAAGTACAGTTGCCATATAGAGATGCACACCCATTCCAAATAGAATATAAAACACACACCTCCCCTGCCCCAAATTCCTCATAAAGCCCTCCAATATTTTAATTAATTTCAGCCTGAGAGTCCATGCACTAATATAGACATTCATATTATATTTACAATTTTTCTTTGATATAAGATAAATTTCAAAGATTCCTTGGCTATATACTCATTCCCTCTGTCTCCAAGCCTTCTCTCCACTTACTAGGCTTTCTTTTGTTTTCCTTCACACAATTTTCTAAGTATATTATCCAGGGCACTCACTTATCCTGTGACCCATTTAATCTATGTTCAAGAATTTTAACAGAACTATATGATTCAAATCTGAAAGGGATCAAAAGCCATGAGCTGCAAAAATTATTGCCTCATCACAGAGAAATGGTTTTTAAAGAGTTGGTCCTACACGTCCACACACACAACTACACATAAAGTGGCTTTTGAGCCACGGTCATACTCTTGGGTTCAGTTTACTTTTGGAGAGCCACTTAAAAAGTCAGGAATTAACGTGATAACTGAAATAAAGAATAAAGTCAAGGATCTGACTGGTAAGTTCCCTTGCAGAAAGCTGAAAACCAACATTTTGGTTTTATTTCAGATGCACATTTATTGCATTCCTCTCATTTGCCAGGGACCCTGCATGGCTCTGGGTTCCAAGGATGATTACAATGAACAAATCACTCTTTTCTTAAAGACTTATAGTGCAATGTGAGAGAGTAACCTAAGCAGAGATAATTCCAATTAAATATGGTTAAGTGCCAAGATAAGTAAACATGTGAAAGGGTCTCTGAGCACCTAGGGCCAGGACATGTAATCCTACACGGTGGAGGGCACAGAAGGCTTCTGCAAGGAGCAGACTCCTGAGTTGATTGTTGAAGAATGAATATGAATTAGTGAGGGAAGAATGATGAGAGGGAGCATCTGGATATTGAGAGTACACAGAAGGGACAGCCAGGATCTAGAAGAACCTCCTGATACTGCTGAGTGGAGGGAAAGCAGGGTGGCTGGAGAGAACACTCTAAGGATCAATTGGGGGCAGGTCTTGGAGGCTTGTGGATTTCTCACTTTCTTCCCTTTCCAAGTTGGCTCCCTTTGAACACTGCTCTTGGTGTCCCTAGATTTTCTTCCCTGTTTGTTTTTTGCATTAGATCATTCACAACTCTTTTCAGCTGTCCTAACTTCTGCTCAGGAATGTGTAAGAAAAGGAAAACAATGAGGACAACTGGTCTCTAAAAATCTAGATTGGCCTCACTTTTCTTCTGTTGCTTTTGAGAGCAAAACCTATATTTTTATCTTCAAACATAGATTTGTAGTAAATAAAAAAGTAAACAGAAATAAAGGAGATTTGGAAATCACATATTCATTTGTCTTTAAAAATGTATATTTATAAAATTTATTTTATTATTATTTATTTTATAAAATGTATTTTAAAAATTTATATTTCTTCCATTCTGGGAAGGTTAATCAGGATTTATTTTCATGGTTGGCTTAGATGAAAGGAATAGCCAATCATCCAAATAGGATGAACAACTACTTTCAAATTTTATTAACATATGGCAAGTGCACATGGTAATTGGTCATCAATTTGTTGTCAAGACACATTTCTTTTTGTTCCAACCATTCTCTCACTGACCAAAGTCAATAAACCTAATTAAGCAAAACTAAAAATTTCTATGTTCTAGAGAAGCTAGTAAAATCAAAGTCATAAAAAAAATAAAATAAATAAAATCAAAGTCACAATACCAAAGTAAGAGGGAATGACTTTGTCCTGGAGAAGGAAGAGGATGGTGTGCTAAGAACCCACCCAGTTTCCAGATCTTCAAAGACCAGTTCTTTTCAATTCAGGGTATGAGAGTGTGGTGGCACACTGAGATGAGAAACTCAAGTAATATAATGTACCAAAATAAAATTCAAATTACTTTTGTATTCATGCATTTGTTCCTTGCTATTAATGTGGTTAAGAGAAAACCAGAGATACACTGGAAAAAATTTCAATATATTAAAAAATTAAGATTTAAAAGGGTTATATATGTATTCTTTCTTTCTCCTTTGGACCCATTCGTATCAGAAGGAAAACAGCATACTTTTCTATCACTGTTTAATTACATAGGGAGCAAGAACAGTAAATGCACTAGCAAAGGATATATCCTGCTAACAGAAAGCTGAGTTTAGAATGCATGGTATGTTTATATGAAAGAACGGCTTTGGTTACCATTTTTGCAACCTACAGAATTAATGTATTTCAGTAAAAGTGTAAGATCGATAGTTGTGCTAGCTCTCAAACAGAAATGAGAGAAGGGTTCCAAGAAGTCAGAGAGGCCACTGTTATATCTAGATATCTAATAAGGTCATTATCCTTTTCTTAGGCAAAGCTGCAATGACTAGAGGTTAGTCTGGGGGAGGGCTAGGGGCACACGCCATAGGCCATGACAGCTAAATTACGTGTGTATTAGGGGAAATGGCTACCTGTTTGCACGGCACATGTGCACTGAATCAGAACCAGTTTTGGACACTCATAGAATGATTTCTACGGTCTTTTTGTCTCTAAATTCTAAAAGTCTATTGAGGAACCCATATATTTGTGTGGCTCTAATTTCTAAACTGATACATACAGACACTGGGCATCTGACATCAAAATGATGGTGAGTACAGAACAGAGTTCTGCTCCTTTGGTCTGGGGGTCAGGATGCCCTTGGCATCCCCATGATACCAAATGCTAAAGGTTTCTAGACCTCTGGGTCAAGATCAATCTCATTTGAGAGAGTAGGGGATTTAAATCGTTTTCAACTTCAGTTCTGTTATCATGATATTTTAAAGGTAGTCATGGTGTTCTTTATTTTTTATCTATTTTACAAACACTAATACTACTTTAGAAAAATATTTTAAAAATAACAGTTTGTGTTCAGAAACCATTAGTTCCATCAGGCAGGCATAAAAGGGAAGAATATTTAAATATTCCTAGTCTTGTTACAATGATTGCTTTTTAAGCCAAAATGATGAGTCAGCATATGGAAATGTATACACAAAAAGGCAATTAACATGATTTGGGAAACTGCCAAGTGTGTGGTTCAAAGGATCCTGAAGCAGAACTTCAAACTTTTGTATCACTCTAATTTCACTTATTTCTGTTTCCTCCAATCCTCGGTTCTTCCATTTTAAATTGGAGTATTATTTAATACATATCTTTCAACTTTTTTTTTTTTTTTTTTTTAAATTTTTTTATTTATTTATGATAGGCACACAGTGAGAGAGAGAGAGAGGCAGAGACACAGGCAGAGGGAGAAGCAGGCTCCATGCACCGGGAGCCCGACGTGGGATTCGATCCCGGGTCTCCAGGATCGCGCCCTGGGCCAAAGGCAGGCGCTAAATCGCTGCGCCACCCAGGGATCCCATATCTTTCAACTTTTAATTTAAATTTTCAGTATTCTACAAAGGTAATAATTCTTTGAAGATAAAACATCACAACAAAAAATAACTGATTTTGGCAAGTGCAACTAGAAACATGTCTTTAAAAGACTGAGTCACTATGATTCTTTTGAAAATGAAAAATACTATTTGGTTGCTTTAGAGAATATAACTTGAATGTAGTTCTTTAGCAGTAGTAATATACTTCCACATCCTACTACACTCAAAAACAAGAAGATATAATTATTTACTGACCTCATAGCTCTGATAAGCAATGGGCATTATGCTTTTTTTTTTCTTTTCCTAGGAATGGTTAGTAACACCAGAGAAAGGAATTACCTTACTAACATTGCTATTCTACTCATGTTTAAATCTCATGGGAGAGCTGCTACCTCCTCCTAGAGCTAGCTGGAAAGTTATTCAGGATTGATGGTATATTCCTTCAAAATAATCTTAAACCAAGGTACCCACAATGAAAGGTTATAGATGCTGTCCAGATACAATTTGGATCATTAAGAAATACGTTTGGCCATTTAGCATAATCAAACACAACAAATAAAGAATTTACAGAACTGAAACAATTCTAAAAAATTGTCAGATGAATATATAAACAAAGCATTATAGTCTTGATTAGCTATGATTTTCAGTTTATTCTTTCTTGCTGCTTGCTTCTTTATGCAAAATGGGAAATGGGCCAATAAACAATTTTCTTGAGGATTCTTGTCTGAGTAATTTCTGAAGAGCTGATCAGTAAACAAACGCCTTTCAAGTTCAAAGTTCAAAACACAGGTTACTCCTTGGGGCTATGGAGTTTAACAAGTTTTGGGAGAAAAAAATTCCCCACATTCTGTATATTATGGTAAAACCTTACTTACATATGCAAATTAGGGGGCGCATAGGGATATTTAATTCAAAAGAGCAGATAATCCAATATTATTCCTTTTGGATTTTAGCACAAATTAGGAAAGAATAATTACAAAGTTCATGAACGACTGTTTCATTTTAACTGTATTTCCCAAGTGAGTTGATTTTGAGATTAAGCAATTTCAGCTTCACTTACTACCAATGCCTCCTTCCTGAACAGATTAACACAATGCTGATTTTTCAAGTTTGTAGTCTAAGACTTCAGTGAGAGTGGGACTAATAATTTCAGGGGCTGGCATTCTAGGACGAGTCAAGATTCTATTATAGTTCAACTATAGAAGATTCCACTGGGGAGGACTACTTCCCCAAGAGCCATCTACAGGGAAATGGTGCTGAGGGGAGCCATTTGATTAATTCACAACCCATGGTTTACTGCTTCT